CCTCTCAGTGGTGAGAGTAAATTAATCCTAACCCTTGTTTTTCCAATTGCAGACGTGACGGCAAGGCTCTTGAGAGGTTCCTGCAGGAGTACTTTGATGGCAGCCTGAAGAGATACTTGAAGTCTGAGCCTATCCCAGAGAGCAATGATGGTCCCGTAAAGGTGAGGTGCTCCCTGCCTCACCAGGCTATAAGTGGTTGTGTCTTTCATTTTTTTAATTTTTATTTTGAGACAGTGTCTCACTGTTACCCATTCTGGAGTGCAGTGACTCCATCATGGTTCACCACAGCTTCAACCTTCTAGGCTTAGGTGATCCTTTCTGCTCCAGCCTCCCAAGTAGCTGGGACTACCTGCATGCACCACTACACCTGGCTAATTTTTTTTAATTTGTGTAGAGACAACATCTTGCTATGTTGCATAGGCTGGTCTTGAACTCCTGGGCTCAAGCAGACTTCCTGCCTCAGCCTCCCTAAGTGCTGGGATTACAGGCATGAGCCACCTTGCCCAGCCTCTCCTCATTTCTTTGTTCCAAAAATACTGGGTCTAAATGAAGACCTTGTTGACCATCTCTTTCTCTTATTTTTTGTTTTTTTGTTTTTTGTTTTTGGCACCTTTGAGTCCTAAGTATTGGCAGAGCTCATAAATAATACTTGGTATGGCCAGGAATTTTCTGATGGAATTTATACTGGGGCAGATTACTCTTTGCGGGGAGAGCAAGCTAATCCCTAACCCCTAAGAATAATTTTAATGCAGTCTGGAAATGTGATTTGGATTTTCTTGACTTACTTTCTGTGGTAACATACCAAATTTGAGAGGTATTGGGTCCAGAAATAAATACAGCTTGTGAATTTATTATGTCACCTTACCAACTAGGGAATCTTGTGTTTTCCAGGTAGTGGTAGCAGAGAATTTTGATGAAATAGTGAATAATGAAAATAAAGATGTGCTGATTGAATTTTATGCCCCTTGGTGTGGCCATTGTAAGAATCTGGAGCCCAAGTATAAAGAACTGGGAGAGAAGGTAAGTCTGAACCCTAATCTGAAGATAAATTTTGAGCACAGGCAGGAGGTTTACCTACTGCATTGGCTAATTAGTTACCTTAATTAGTTTAATTCCTAAGTATAGTAGCACTGGTAAATCTTCTCATCTACTGTTTAATGATTTTTCTCTTGATTGTCCCCTAGTGTCTCTAGCCTGTGCAGTACCTTAGATACCTACTTTTAACATTCCATTCCTCAGACTCAATCTAGATTTTGGTTAACAATATCTAAGAAGTTCTAAATTTTGGTAATGGCTTATATGAATCCATATGCTCCTTCATCTTAAAACACTTGGCTTAACCCTTTTAATGTCTTGTTCAGGCCAGGTACATTTGAAGGCAGCTGTGTATAGAGTCTTAATATATAGAAGCCAAGAGAAAAAGGAGCTTGTGAAGGTTAGGTACTATCTACAAGCCACTCTTCCCATCTGAGCAGCAACTTATCCAGGTGTTTGAAGAATGAGATTGTTTTAAGTCCTGAATTGACAAGTGTCCCTCAACCGCTGAACACTTGAAATTTAAAGATCTAACCTTTTTATTAACAGCTCAGCAAAGACCCTAATATTGTCATAGCCAAGATGGATGCCACAGCCAATGATGTGCCTTCTCCATATGAAGTCAGAGGGTAAGCAGCTTAAAAATTAACAAATGTATCTAGACAATTGATAGAGCAAAGCTTATAAACCACCAGGAAGCCACTTATTTACTGTGCATAATATTGTGAGGGCCTGCATATTCCAGTTGAGGGCAGAACCACTGATTCCTTCCTAGCTTAGAGTTCCACAACTTGGGCCGCATGACTGTCAGAAGTTTTGTGAGCTCTTATGTTGCTGAGTTTTGACAGGATGTAATTTAGCCACTGATGGAAAATAGTATCTGGTGAGATTGGAAACCATGAAGAGAAATTATTCTTAGAAACAGTTATTAAGGAAGTAAATGTCAGAGTTGTTCTGGAAACTGAAATTAATAAATTTTTATTTTCCCAGTTTTCCTACCATCTACTTCTCTCCAGCCAATAAGAAGCTAAATCCAAAGAAATATGAAGTAAGTGCATTGTCCCATCTCCCCACAAATATACACACAGACATAAAGAAATGCATACACAGACATATACACATGCACTTACACATATTCAGTTCTTTATTTTTTATTTTTTTATTTTTATTTTTTGAGTTGGAGTCTCACTCTGAAGCCCAGACTGGAGTGAGCGGCCACTGCAGCCTCGACCTGCTGGGCTCCGGCGATCCTTCCGCCTCAGCCTTCCAAGTAGCTGGAACTACAGGCGCGCGCTACCACACCTGGCTAATTTTTGATTTATTGTAGAGATGAGGTCTCGCCAAGTTGCCCAGGCGGGTCTCGAACCACGGGCTCAGGCAATCCACTCACCTCAGCCTCCTAAGGCGCGGGATTACAGGCTGAGCCACTGAGCCCAGCTTTATCCAGTTCTTTAATTGGGTTTATTTAATTGGAAACTATCTATGCTCTCATAGTCAATATATGTGGTTGGTGATGTGCTTTTACAAACTCGAAAGTCTTCCTATTTGGGGTAGGGGGTGGAATCAGGGTTCTTTAAAAGTTAAATTTTCAGAGTAATTTTTCTGTTTTCAGGGTGGCCGTGAATTAAGTGATTTTATTAGCTATCTACAGAGAGAAGCTACAAACCCCCCTGTAATTCAAGAAGAAAAACCCAAGAAGAAGAAGAAGGCACAGGAGGATCTCTAAAGCAGTAGCCAAACATACCACTTTAAAAAAGGACTCTTCCACCAGAGATGGGAAAACCATTGGGGAGGACTGGTACCCATGTGGAATTATTACCTCTCACGGCTGAGAGGACAGAATGGATATATTCTGAATCCCGTTAAATTTTCTCTAAACTGTTTCTTAGCTGCACTGTTTATGGAACTACCAGGACCAGTTTATGTTTGTGGTTTTGGGAAAAATTATTTGTGTTGGGGGGAATGTTGTGGGGGTGGGCGGGATTGAGTTGGGGGGTTATTTTCTAATTTTTTTTGTACATTTGGAACAGTGACAATAAATGAGCCCCCTTTAAACTGTCTTTTTTCTATGGGATTGAGAACCAAAGTTTCTCTAGACTATCACTGTCCAATAGAGCTTACTATATTGATAGAAATGTTCTGTAATATGTTCTGTTCAATACATGTAGTTATGGACTACCTGAAATAAGGCTAGGAACTACATTTTTTTTTTTTTTTTGAGTTGGAGTCTCACTCTGTCGCCCAGACTGGAGTGCAGTAGCCGCTCCCGGCCACCGCAGCCTCGTCCTGCTGGGCTCTGGTGATCCTTCCGCCTCAGCCTTCCAAGTAGCTGAAACTACAGGCGTGCGCCACCATGCCCGGCTGATTTTTTGACTTATTGTAGAGATGAGGTCTCACTGCCCAGGCGGGTCTCGAACCCAGGCGGGCTCAGTCAGTCCACTCACCTTAGCCTCCCAAAGGCGTGGGATTACAGGCTGAGCCACCAAGCCCTGCTGGAACTACATTTTTAATTTTCATTAATTTAAATAGCCACATGTGGCTATCATACTGGTCACTGGAGCTGTAGACTGACTAGCTGGGTCCATAATTATCACCTTGAAATCCTTTGCAAATTTCTCATCTCTTGCTCTCTTTACATGTTTATTGCCCGAGCCCTAGCCCTGTGATTAGAACAGGTGAGGGGCCTTTCTTGATAGGCTGTTTCTTTTTCTTTTTTTTTTTTGAGTTGGCGTCTGTTACTCTGTTGCCCAGACTGGAGTGCCGTGGCATGCTCACAGCCACTGCAGCTTCAACCTGCTGGACTCACATGACCTTTCCACCTCAGCCTTCCAAGTAGCTGGAACTATAGGTATGCGCCACCTTGCTCGGCTGTTTTTTAAATTTTTTATCGTAGAGATGAGATCTTGTCAAATTGCCCAGGCTGGTCTCGAACCCAGGCAATCTTCTCATCCCAGTCTCCCAAAGTACTGGGATTATAGGTGTGAGCCACTGTTCCTGGCCTTTGTAGGCTATTTCTAGCCCTGCCCATGCCCTAAGGATGGGTTCCTGTTTATCCTTGCCATGCAGCCAAGCTTACTGCATGTTTATACCTCCCAAGAAATGCCTTGCCATGGGTGTGGCATCAGGTTGGAGTTCTATCCAAGTTGCTTCAGAAATTGCTGACACTGCTGAGTATAGCTCTCTCCCTCAAAGCTTAGGGTGTGGTGCACTAACTTCCCTCTCCAGTGGAACTGGGAAAGGCAGTGTCATTTCTGGAGGGAAGTGAAGCATCCACTTTCTTCTGTAACAGTGAGGAACAAAAAGGATAGGACTGAAGTGATCTCTTTTGTTCAAATGAATTGAACAGAACCTTTTTGTAGATAAATCTAAAATCCTCCCCACAGTAATAGTTTTCAGTCACTGGATAATTCCAAATAGCCCTAATTGTAGGTGATCCTATAAACCTTTGTTTAGAAAAGGAAAAGGAGAGCTTTCTTTCTATTATAATGATAATCTCTAATTGGCAATTTTAAGATGTATTTGGTAGAGCAAAATATACATCAGGGTCATGCTCAGAACTTTAAAAAACTACCTAAACCATAGTCTTGGAGATTCTAATTCATAACACCTGGGCTGGGGCCTAGGGATCTAATTATTTAGAGAACACTAGAAGCAGTTCAAGGATATGAGGCCAGGGATAAGAATTAGTAACTTGGAAGAGTTGAGGAAAATATATAAACTTGTACAAAGGACACAGAAGCAGTTAGCTTTAACTTTTTAACCATGTTTGTAGAAGAATTCACTTTCAGTACATGGGTAACACCCAAGCCCTTTCCCATTATATCCAGTTAGGCTACAAGTTCCTTTAGCTCTGTTACCTATACAATCCTCATTATTCTTTCCTTTGGGAAGCCACCAGGCTAAATTCACTTGAGTTTGTCTAATGTCCTCAAGTTATCTTATCTTGGAAATGCCATTTCTCAAAATTTGAAAATAACTTGGCTGAACTAAAGGTGAAGAAGCCAAGTCTCTGTCACTTTTCCTAGACTCATGGGCACAGCTGTGGAGTCTTGGCACAGTGCCCACACCCTAAAAATTAAAATACAGCAAAATGAAAATCAGCCCTTCAGAACCTAGAGCAGTTCTCTATTTGACACCATTGACTCTAGTGGCCAGCATAAGGAAAGCAGATCGTTGCACTCTAGTTTGTAGCTGCTTTCTTCTTTCATATCACTGAGCAGAGGTTCAAGAGCCCTCTTGACAGCTTCAGCTGCCCCTGTTCTTTTTCTCAAACTCCAGGATGAGACCTTTAATGTGGGACAATTTCTGATGCAGGTACTCACAGCGGCACTTTTCTTCCCTGTAACTTGGGTACCGCTGCAGAGAAAAAGATCATGTCAAAAAGCAAAAATCCTTATTTCTACCTCCTTCCATTCCCAGACCTAGTCTTACCTTCCTGAACTTTTTATACTCTTGGACTATCTTATCTTCCAGCACCTGAAACAGAAAATACTAGCACTGAGTTCAGCAATAAGAAATAAAAGAGGTCCAGCTCATCTCTGTGTGATGTAAAACATAAGAGAGGGAAGTAACTTCTCATTCTACCAAATGATACTAATTTTGCTCCCCAAACAGGTTTGCTTATCACTTTCCTTGGTCACTATACAAACACAGACTTCTGGGTAGTTAGCAAAGGATTAGTGGCCAGTAGAGCTGGAAGGCCAACCTGTGTCCAGTCCTTACCTTGTATTCTGGGGTTCCTTGCTGAACTCTCTTGATCTCTGCTCCCAACTCCATGAACCTTTGGCTTGCAGCACCAACGCGGGCGTGCAGTATGCGGTATTCAACATAATCTGTCTCAAAGTCCTGCTCATAGGCATGTTGCTGCTCTGCACTATGGATGGTCCTGTATTGCCTGCCAGGAGCAAAGAGTTGTCACCCTCAATTTCATTGCCCTCAAAAGCTCCCAGCATCCAGGAAGTTTGTCTTAATACATGCACAAGGCCTGATGAAATTGAACCATAATCCCAGCAGTTTGGGAGACCAAGGTGGGGTGGGAGGATCGTTTGAGGCCAGGAGTCCAAGGCGAGCCTGGGCAACAATACTGAAACTTCATCTATACAAAAAAAATTAGCCAGGCACAGTGGCATGCGTCTGTAAGTCCCAGCTATTCAGGAGGCTGAGACAGAAGGATCGCCCAAGCCCAGGAGGTCAAGGCTGTGGTGAGCTGTAATGCCACTGCACTCTAGACAGAATGAGACTGCCTCAAAAAAGGAAAAAAAAAAAAAAGGCAGGGAACTCACAGGAGGTAATCTGGTAACTCTTCAGAGCTTGAGGATTCAGAGTCTAGGAAGGAAGCAGGAAAAGGCAAAAGTGATTATAAGTCTCTTCCACTGTGGGCATTTCTACTCTCCTCTCATTACCTCACCTGCTTGGACTGAGGAACTGTGCTCCAGCCTGGGGTCTGTGTCTTCATCTTGCTCCCAGTCTTCTCTTTCTTGTAACTCCTGATTGGGCAGCCCTTGTAGAGGACTTGCACCTTGAGGCAGAGCTCTGAACCTCTTTTCTTCTAGTTCTACAGTGGCTACAGGTGCTGGACGTTTCTGTTAGGAAAATATCTGTGATGTCAAAGTTGGCCAGGAGCTTCCTACTGTGCCTTTCTCTCAAAAATTCTATTTAAGACTGCTTGAGCCTAGGAGTTCAAGGCTGCAGTGAGATATGATCATGACACGGCACTGGACAAGACCCTATCTCTAAAAATAATAATTCCTCCCATATAATGAGCTCCCAATTTGTATACATTTTAGCTTGAAAGTGTTCTCAAAGCCCTTGCCATTACAGCCTACCTTGTTCAGACGTTTCCGGCTGACAGAGGAAGGCAGTGCCTGATCAAGCTCTCTGTTTGGAAGATGGGCCTGGTTCCTAGGAGATTTTAGGGAGTGGGACAGATGATCAGAGTAGGAGATAGAGCGACAGCATTTAAGAGTGGAGATTACAGAGGAAGACAATACCAAGGCCTCCCGTGTTAGTCCCACCCTGTCTCAAGTACCTCGCTTCCCACTGTGCCATGTGCTCCCTTGAGGATCCTGGGAGTGACTGTTCTTGGTTGCTTGCCAGTGGATCTGACACCTAGTGGGGAAAGTGGCAGGAGCACTTGCTCCCTAGAGCACTTTGGGATACCCTGGACTTCAGGCCTCGCCCCACCTTATCACAACTCCCTGCAGTTTCTGGCCTCACCTCTTCCAGTACCATCTGTGGCTGTGACACTGCATCTCCTTCAGAATAGTCCGTGTTCTGCCAACTCTCAGGGTGTCTGGCATCTTCAGTCAGGTTGTGTCCCTGAACTGTTGATGGAGCTGGGATAGAATCCATGGTTGCCCAAACAGTGAGGCGCTCCTTGAGTGGGCCCAGGCAGTGGAGGTGGTTAGGCCGAGATCTGGGAAGGGATGGTGGAAAAAACCAGCAGGGTGGAGAGCTTTAAAGCACCTCTTCACATTCCCCTCCCCCACTTTGCACAAACTCTTACCTGCTATGGTTCCCCCTTACCTGCCTAAGCGTTGGTACACAAGATCCAAGCTACCACCAGCGCCTTCCTGGCCACACTGGGACACTATGAAGGAGAAGAGGCAGGACCAGCCAGGGCCTGGGAGCCTCAGATACTGGAGGTTGAAAGGAGACGGTAAGCCCCATGAAGTCAGCCCCTCCCCCTCCTGCCAACGCCACTCCTCCCAGAGCCAAAGACTGAAGATGGGTCCCACGGGGCTCGTTAGCACACCAGGTGCAGCAGGGCCTGAGATCCCCAGGAGGCCAAAACGGCACCGTCTCCTCAACCACAGCCTCCTGGGGCCACAACCCCAGCAGCTCCCTCGTCCCACACGGGATTCAGTTCTCGGAACATCCTCAGGCCGTGACCTCCGGCCCTGACCGCACTTTCCTGTAGCCCACGTCTGTGCTCCTTCACCCCTGGTACCTTCTCCAGGCACCCCACTCACACACCCTGAGCCCACACTTACCCCTCGGTGGCCTTGGAAAGCAATCACTGGCCGTACCTGTGGGGAGAGCACAGATGCGACCTGAGCGCAGGTGAAGCCATGTCCCCTGGATCCGGCGTCCGGGGCCGGGGGTCACCTGCCTCAGGCTTCACTTGGAGAGGTGGGGAAGCCAGAGCCTGCGGATGCCGCTCCCTCTCCCTGGTGCCTTCTCCAGGGTCGCCGGCTGAGGCCCAAGGTCCCGAGGGGTGGGGGCCGGGGAAGAAGGGAGCCGTCCTCACCTGTTGCCGGTGACACTCTTGCAATGCCCGCAGCGCCGCGTCGTTGAGCCTGAGCAGTAAGAGGCTGGTGCGCGCCGCAGGGGAGAAGCGGAGTCGGAGCTTCCCGCTCAGAGGGTCCTGGAGTTGTTCCTCCATGGCGTGAGTTCGAGCGCAAGGAAGCACGGGGGCCACGGGCGAGGGCCACCGCCGCCACCTCCGCTGTGCAGGGCTTGGCTGGCACACCCGGTAGCCCAGGTCTGCCCCGCCCTCCGCCAGGAACCCGCCCCCAGCCAGCGCCACCCCTGAGGTTTCCCAGCCGCGTGGGCGGCGCTTCGCCCTCCAGGGCCATCTGCCCAGACCCCAGCGGTGTCTTCTTGGATCGGCAAGACTCGCGTTGGGCTGTCACAATTCTGGGGAGGAGTCCGCGACCAGCGTTTAACCTGGCACCCAGAGTCCCCAGTCCTGCCTCACTTCCCCCAGCCACGGTGAATTCGGAGTTGCAGTTCCCTTAAGTGCAGAGGGACGGAAGAAAAAAGGAGCCTGGCTGACAGGCTGGCTCAGCGGCTCGCACCCCGGAGGCCATGAGCCGCAGAGACCCGGGGACCCGAGGATGGCGGGACCCATGCGGCGCTTTTGCTTTTTGCGCGCCACGGCGCTGCGCCGGAGCCGAAGGTTGTTCCTAACCAAGACTGGAGAGGCTATCTAGCCCTTGGTAGTGGCGGCAACCGTGAGGCTGGAGCGCCCCCTATCGGCGGACGGGGACGGGGGCGTAAACGGCGGCAGGGGAGTTGCAGGGCCAAGAGCCAGAAGTGTCAGCTATCACCTCGGGGCCCAAAAACATGTCAGAGTGGTGAGAAAGGGAGCTGGCTCACGCCCTCAGGAGGTGCCATGAAGTTGCCAGGCTTTCGGTAGGCCCAGAACCTGGTGCAGTGAGACCCCGAGACCAATCTCAGGCTCCGATGCTGGGTGGCATGGGGTGTAGTTGTTCCATGGGCCCTTGACTCGCCCCAGAAAGGCATTTCAGAGCTAGGCTCAATGAGAGGTTTCCAGTAGTTCATGAAAGAGAAAAGAAATGATAAATTCAAGAGAGGAACGCAGGTGGCCTTAAGGGAATGGGCACACATTTGCTGTTAGCAGAAAGCTTATATTTTGTTCAAAATGATGACCAAGCAACCTAATTTCTTTTCTTTCTTTTTTATTTATTTATTTCTTTGTTTGTTTTTGAGTCAGTCTCACTCTGCTGCCCAGGCCGGAGTGCAGTAGCACATTCACAGTCACCGCAGCCTCGACCTTCTGGGCTCAGGCGATCCTTCCGCCTCAGCCTTCCCAGTTGCTGGAACTACAGTAACACACCACCACACCCAGCTAATTTTTTGATTTATTGTATACAAGGTTTCACCAAGTTGCCCAGGCTAGTCTCGAACCTCTGAGCTCAGGCAATCCTTTCCCTTTGGCTTCCCAAAGCGCTGGGATTACAAGCTTGATCCATCATGCTCAGCCTAAGCAACATATTTTCTACACTAAGCTTTGATCACAGGTTTCAATTCTTACCATTTTGCTCTTGTCTGTGTCTACAAGAAACTTTTGAGATAATAGGAACATTGCTGTTTAATTAAGTTTTCTCTTAGAACACTGTGCCTCAGTGTCTCTGGTAACTCTCTACTGTCCTGTTCTGTCCTTCTAGCCAGCCACCCCATATTCCAAGGTCGGGCCTGGATTTCAGTCAGTGTGTAGTTGTTTAAAAGAGTTATGTCCCAGCCGGGCTCGGTGGCTCAGCCTGTAATCCCGCACCTTTGGGAGACTGAGGTGAGTGGATTGCCTGAACCCGCGGGTTCGAGACCCACCTGGGCAGCAAGACCTCATCTCTACAATAAATCAAAAAATCAGCCGGGCGTGGTAGCATGTGCCTGTAATTCCGGCTACTCGGAAGGTTGAGGCAGAACGATCGCTGGAGCCCAGCAGGCGAGGCTGCGGTGGCCAGGAGCGGCCACTGCACTCTAGTCTGGGCGACAGAGTGAGACTCCAACTCAAAAAAAAAAAAAAAAGAGAGTTATGTCCCAACCAGGCATGGTGGCTCATGCCTATGATCCCAGCACTTTGGGAGGCAGAGGCGAGAGGATTGCCTGAGCTCATGGGTTTGAGACCAGTCTGGACAACTTGGCGAGACATCATCTCTACAATAAATCAAAAAATTAACTGAGTGTGGTGGCACGTACCTGTAGTTCCAGCTACTTGGGAGGCTGAGGCAGAAAGATCACCTGAGCCCAGCAGGTCAAGGCTGCAGTGGCTGTGAGTGTGCCACTGCACTCCAGCCTGGGTGACAGAGTGAGACTCCAACTCAAAAAAAAAAAAGAGTTATGTCCCAATAAGACGGTGTCCAGATGCTTGACCACCTGATTTCTTAATTATATAAGCCTGTCCGTAAGTAACTCACTGTCTATATCTAAGCCTATGCTAGCTGTCCTGCCTTAGCTTGTCCTTGTGTCTCCACTTGTCCCTATTTAGTTGTGTTTCCCAAGTGCCCTTATGTTGTCCTCTTTCCTAACCAGGATCTCTCTATTAAACCTCTGGACCTGCATAATCCTAGGTGAACTTAATGCCCTCCACCCCAAATAAAATTACCTTTACACTTGTCAAAACTCATCAAAAAGTAGACATTAAATATGTATTGCATATAAATTACACTTCAATAAGGTTGATTTTTAAAATGAGTTCAATAAATCTCCAACTCTATTAGGGATCTCTGTTTCTCTGGGTGACAGTTTGATAAACAGTTGTGGTAATGGGTAAAGCTGGTCTCACAGGCTTTTTTTTTTTCTTTTCAAAGGAAATCTGTGGTCTTTTGTGTGATTTTCCTAAACTTAAACTCAAAGGAGAGATTAGAATGGTGAAAATTTCAGGAGAGGAGGGAGGAGCAGTGATCTAAAAGCAGGTAACTGGGGAAGATATTTGAGAAGGGAGGTACGTAGGGATCTAACATTCGTTAAGTGTTCATTGTGTGTCAGAAACTTTGCCTGTTATTTAATTCCTACAATAACTTTTTAGTGTATTATTATTCATACTTCTCATTCACTCCACAAATACTTATTGAGCTGGGTGCAGTGACTCACGCCTATAATTCCAGCACTTTGGGAGGCGAAGGCAAGAGGAGTTCGAGACCAGCCTGAGCAACATGGCGAGACCTCATCTCTACAATAAATCAAAAAATTAGCAGGGCGTAGTGGCACACGCCTGTAGTTCCAGCTACCTGGAAGGCTGAGGCAGAAGGATTGCCTGAGCCTAGCAGCTCAAGACTGTGGTAGCCATGAACATGGCACTGCACTCCAACCTTGGTGACAGAGTGAGACTCTGATTCAAAAAAACAAAACAAAACAAAACACACAAGTATTTATTGTACCCTTACTCTGTACCAGGCCCTATACTAGACACTTGGAATACATCAATGAACAGATTTTTGCTTTGGAAGAACTTATATTCTAGAGCGAAAGCAAGCACTATAAATAAGCATGAGAAATAAACATAAGAAATATTATAGTGTATGTTAGAAGGTGGTAAGTGCTACAGAAAAAAATGAACAAGGTAAGAGGATTTGGAAGTGGAAGAGGAGAGGCTTGACTGTATATTAAATAAAGTGATCAGAGAAGGCCATCTGGTGAAGATGAAGCATAAACAATTCCCCAAAGGAGGTGAGGAGGTTGGCTAAGCTGCACAGTTGGAGGAACTGCTTACCAGGCAGAAAGAATAGCCAGTGCAAACTCTGTAAGCCAGAAGAGTACCTGAAGTATTTGAGAAAAAGTTAAGGCCAGTGCAACCAGAGCAAAGTGAGCCCAGTCATTGGAGGGTTTTGAACAGAGGAATAACATGAAGTCAATTTTATTTTATTTTATTTTATTTTTTGAGTTGGAGTCTCACTCTGTTGCCCAGACTGGAGTGCAGTGGCCACTTCCGGCCACCGCAACCTTGACCTGCTGGGCTCCGGTGATCCTTCCGCCTCAGCCTTCCAAGTAGCTGGAAGTACAGGCACACGCTACCACGCCCGGCTAATTTTTGATTTATTGTAGAGATGAGGTCTCGCCAAGTTGCCCAGGTGGGTCTCGAACCCGCGGGCTCAGGCAATCCACTCACCTCAGCCTCCCAAAGTGCTGGGATTACAGGCTGAGTCACCAAGCCCGGCTGTCAATTCTATTTTAAAAGAGTCAATCTGGACTGGGTGTGGTGGCTCATGTCTGTAATCCCAGCAGGGTAGGAGGATTGCTTGAGCCCAGGAGTGTGAGACCAGACCAAGCAACATAGTGAAACCCTGTCTCTACAAAAAAAAAAAAAGTTTTTTCATTAGATAGGCATAGTGGCATGTGCCTGTAGTTCCAGCTACTTAGGAAGCTAAGGCGGGAGAATCACTTGGGCCCAGGAAGTCAAGGGTGCAGTGAGCTATGATCCTGCCACTTGCACTCCAGCCAGGATGACACAGTGAGTCCCTGTCTCTAAACAAAACAAAAACCAAAAAACAAAAAACTGACTATAGCAATGAAAATATTCTTAAACTAAAGATCATTAAATTACACACTACACTTCAAATGAATGAAATGTATAGTATGTGAATTGTGTTTGAAAGAAGCTATTACTTAAAAAAAAAGAATTGCCTGGCTCAGTGGTTCAGTGGCTCAGCCTGTAATCCTGCGTCTTTGGGAGGCTGAGGTGAGTGGATTGCCTGAGCCCGCGGGTTCGAGACCCACCTGGGCAACTTGGCGAGACCTCATCTCTACAATAAATCAAAAATTAGCCGAGCGTGGTAGCACGCGCCTGTAGTTCCAGCTACTTGGAAGGCTGAGGCGGAAGGATCGCTGGAGCCCAGCAGGTCAAGGCTGCGGTGGCCGGGAGCGGCCACTGCACTCCAGTCTGGGCGACTGAGTGAGACTCCAACTCAAAAAAAAGAATTGACCACTGGATTTAGCAATGTGGGTTCACTGGTGATCCTAAATAAGAGCGGTTTTGGTGAAATGGTGAGAATGAAAGCCAGATTGGAGTGAGTTTTAAAAGGATGGAAAAAAAGGAATACACAGAGAATATAAGAAACCTGAGTTTTACCAAATATGGGAGCAAATAGGATCAAGAAAACGTTTTAAGTTGGGAATAATAGCATGTTTGTATGCTGATGGAAATAATTTTGAGAACATCCTCAAAACTTTGATGACGTAAGAGAGAAGGGGGAATTACTGGAGTGGTATCCTTGGGAAGGTTTGAGGGAATGGGACCTATTCACCATTGGTTTTAGATAGGAGTGTGGGCAGTTCATCTCTGGTAACAGGCCACAGGC